GCTGAACCAGCATGACAGGATCTTCAGGAAAAAATCAGCTCTTCTGAAAAGATTGTAAAATTACTGATCTTCGTAGCAAATTTGAGTAAAATTGTTGGGTTTATTACTCACTGAAAGTAAACCCATCTGAAGGACTCCTAAGTAATAATGGAAATAGTGGGATGTTCATGAGTGCCATAGCACATACAGTAACATTCATGAGACATCGACATTATTGATAATAACTCTGTAAGCTGTGATCCTGTCAGAGCACACCTCATGGCTTTGAACATGCACACATGAAAGGTTTAATACACGTCGTACCGGAGTGTGTGCGATTGTGTGCAGACTCTTTCAGTGTAACACAGTTCGTGCTTCCAGTTTTGTCAGCCCAAACCTTACGGTCGATGAGATGGAATTACCCCAAACAACTCCCAGATCGGCTCTGCATACGGAGTCCTGATTCTTTTATCTACCTCGTCATCCTTAAATTCCTAGTTCTACGCTTACAGCATCCATGTGCTCACAGACACAGTAGAACTTAGGTGATAGGAAGGCTGACGTTTTTGTGTAATCAAAAGTTTTCAAGATTTAAGGCTTTATAAAACTTAGAATTAAATGGAAATCAGAAGATGTAATCTCCCAGCCTGATAAGATCATTTGCGTACATCATTAAAGATTTCCAGTCTTAATTATTTTCTCAAGTCTCTTCTGCTTTGCAATAAAGAATGAAAGCCAACTGAGGAGGAGTTTTATTTCGACGCTCCCTAATGTGCAGAAAAAATACCACTTTGGAATAGATGCAACCTTTTCTGATTGGGTGACTGGAAATCACAATTAGTTGGTCTTTTCCTTGTTTGCAACTGTGCACGTTGTGTGCCCTCGCCAGCGAGCCTGGGGTCAGCCCTGCAGGTATCGGGGCGCCTGGTGGAGCTGCTGCAGCTGGGGGCTGACCGCTCGCCTCATGCGCTGGCAGAGGTCGGCCTGCTCTGGCCTCCCTATTTGAACGTCTTCTCCAGCATTTCCACCGCTCCTCTGTTGTGAACGTTGTGTACGTGTGTCTGTCCTTGTGGGCAAGCGCTTTAATTTGTCGTTTTCTTAAATGCTTATAGACTGAAGACCCAACCATGGAAAGGCCGTACACATTTAAGGATTTCCTTCTCAGGCCAAGAAGGTGAGGGGAAGGACCTTTCTTACTTCAAGGTTTGTTATTTGCAACTATTTAAGGGTTGTTGAATAAATTCTACCTCCTTGTCTTTTAGCCACAAATCTCGTGTAAAGGGTTTCTTGCGGCTGAAGATGGCTTATATGCCTAAAAATGGTGGCCAAGATGAAGAAAACAGTGATCAAAGGGACGAATCTGAGGTAAGGAAGCGTTCAAGTTCTTAGAGATTCAAGTGTAATTGTAGAAAAAGTTGAACCTTGAAAGATAAAAGCCTGGTATCAGTGTTAGTACCAGCTTACTCTGTTCCTCCTCTCCAGCTTTGTTTCTTTTATTAAACTGTAGCCTGGTGTTTCCTCAAGATTTCAAGTATTTCAGAGTATTTCAGCTGCCACAATGAAGTCTAGTCTGGCTCAGTTTGTGAAGAAGTAGAAGTAGAATTCATCCCAAGCAGAAGAATTCAGGCAGCCTGTGCAAGTCACTTATAAGCGCAGTGGTCTGTATTAGGTACCTCTTCTGCAGAGGCCCTTTCCAAATAGGTGTTACAGCATTTTTCTGTAATTCCTTGGCACCATTGACTTTGCAGAGAGTGAAGCTTATGCGGGCACAGCAGGTTTAAAGACTTCTCCACACTCTTAGCAGCCGTCACCCATTCTAAGAATTAGCTGCGATTAGGGCTGTCAGCGTGAACGCCAGCCCGAGTTTGCCGAGCTCCCGAGCAGCGTGCGGCAGTCAGCCGGGACTGGGGAGCGAGGGCGGCGTCCCAAGCCACGCGATGGGGCACTCAGGAGTCACTGGGTGGTTC